TCGTCGTTGATTGCCTGTAAAATAATTAATTTATGCGTGCATTAACCGTTACTTGATAATGAGTACCAAAGGCGGAGAATCGGTGGGGAACTGCCCGGTCTTATCTCGTCTTTCAGAGCCGATTAAGTTCAAGTCTTCAAGTGCGGACTGAGCTCGGGTGTGTCAGAGAAAAAGGCAAAAGGCGAGATACCCGATGGGGGATTTGGAAATGGACAGTGGAAGTTTATGAGTATCAGCCACTCTAAACTTGTAATTATGGACTGGACCCTACACATGTACAGTGCGTATCATAAACAAAGCGATAGGAACTATTCAAGGTAAGAATTTCTCTACCTAGTTCCTAGTTTATATTTGTCCTGACACAGACAAGGTTTCCTGAAATCGATCATCACTTTATATTCTCTGATTAAAATCAGCTTTATCACTTTGCAACGCACTGTATGGATATATGGAGACATTCCCATACCCCGGATCTTTGTGATTAATTGTCAACATTTGCAATGTGGCTTGGCTTAAGCAACTATCCATCCACACAGGGCGTAACTTTTGACTTGGGGGAGTCGGAAAATGGACGGGGGAAAAGGGAAAGTTCGGAACAATCCAGACTAAATGAAGATTTACGTCCAGTAACGCCGACGACTTGGATATTTATGGAGGCAGAGTCAAGGAAGTGGAATTCAGTCTGGGAGGAACTCCTTTGCCAAAGTATATTTCTTCTCATTTGCTGAGTATAATGAGCTTTAATTATACCATTTAAATACGAATGTCTTGGACTGACACAGCGAAAAGGAATCTGTTTTATGGGGAATACACTATATAATTTAATTTTTAAAAAAGCTTACTATAGGTTAATATAAATATATTGTATCGCAATTTGTTCAAATGAAAAGTATATAGAGGAATGTATATTTAATGAAATACCAATACAAAAGTATTGATTTCACTACCAAACGATAATTTCATTAACTTTAAAGTACCAATTTATTATATTTTATGTTAAGTTCTTAAATAATAATCCGAAATACTTACCTTCCCCACCGTAAAAGATTTAAAGCTGCATTTCAGTCCGCTTGAATTATAATTATTTTTCAGATCGCTTCAATTAAGTAATCAGAAAGATGACTGCCATAAATTGTGAGAGGGTGGAGGATGTATCTGTGATAAAAAAATAAAAAAAGAATCCACAGAAGCCAGAAATTATTTTCTTCGTTTTTCCAGAACCCATGAGACAACGGCAACTCATCATCGAGTGACCGCAAAGAAATATCATAATGTCTTTCCGAGAAATCAGCATAGGTCGCCAGACAAGACTGGGGGCTCAGCGCCAATGATTGCCCATGGGCGTAGGGTCTGCAAAGGGGGTCTGTCCGCAGGGAAGGGGGTCGTTGTCTCGCCATTCGTTCGATTGAATCAAGACCCCGACGACGAACTCAGACGGCCAACTAAATATACTTGTAATAAAGAAAAAATAAAGTGGAGGCAGAAAGTTGCGTAGGATCCGCGAGATCTTCTGCAGACAATGCAGCTGCAACACTGCTTCCTCAGCCTTTCGGTTGTTTTGATTACTTTATGTTTTTTTGATAAATGCTGCTCATCATGTAATTTTAAACGCGACGCGCATGTTAAACAAACAATTTCCCGTGACAGTGTAAAATGTGTTTTAGGAGGTACACCTAAAGAAATTAGCTAGTAAATTGATGGTATAAATTTATAGATAATCCATTTCATACATAGACAAAAATTTATGAACTGAAGTAACTACATAAAGCCTAATCTTTTAGCACTTTTTGGTTTTATGCTATTTAGATGGATTAATTTAAAAAGTTATCTAGTAAGTAATATGCTGGTAATACTGACGTAATACCCAGGACAGTCTATAAAGTAATAAGTTTTAGATACTAAGGTTATCCTTAAAACTAAATCATCGCTTATACTCAGCCTTATAATCTACAATGAGATGATTTGATTGATTTTTTAGTTTTCATTTTGCCAATTTCAATTCCTATTTAATAGATCTAAGAGTATCCATCAGGCTTTTAATATTAATATGCGGTTACAAAGATATCTCATTAGTAATACTTTTTTCTGGCTCGAATAAAGTTTAAATTGAACTAGTTTTTATAATACTGAATAACCATTTCATACATTTGTAAAAATTTCAAAACTTAGCTGACGTTTTTTCGAGTGCAGGATTTAACTAATACTAAAGGGCCGAGCGACCATTCGTCAGTAGGCCCTCCGGCGACCATTACAACATGACTCGCAAAGAAAGCGAGTGTTGAATGCAACTTTTATTTCATGTTTTCCCCTCTCTCTATCTCTCTTGGATTCTCTTTTTTGTGGTGGAAAGTCTTTTGGCCCTAAGGCAGGCCTAGGCCACAAGAATCGTGTTGATGGATTTCTTCCTGTCGTAAATGTTGTAAGCAAAAGATACGTCCAAAAGCGTTTCAGCCCTGTGTCCCCTAATGGTAGTTTTGTGGCCATTTTCTTGTTCATTTTTTGCTCATTTGACTTATCATTCATGATGCGTTTTTGGCCTCAACTGATTCTGCAGATTTGCAAATATTTAAGCCTCTGACAGCCACAATATGAATTGTGGGAGAGAGTTCTGGATGTAATGTGTGGAAAATGTGTCATTAGAACTAACATTGTTATTGTAAGAAAAGATTCCAGATTGTTACAAAGAATACAAAAAAATCAAAGTATTTTAAGGTTTTTATTAATAAGTATTATGTAATATTAGTACTAATGTTGATGGTAATGTTAATAATTTAGTAAAAGAAAGATGTGAGTGAAAAAATTGACAAGTACCATATTTTGACAAAATAATCCATTTAATTTTTAAAATATTCGAAATATAATTGATCAGAAAATAAGAATATATTTGATTTCAAAAACTGTTTTATTCAAAATTCTTTTAATATTTCCTCTCCATTAGTTTCTCTGTACTTCTTACTATATGTATGTATATGTACATAGGCACCGTTCTTAAGTCGGTCAAAATCGCGTTTTATCATCGATTTCTCATGATAAACATTCAAGGCAGATCCATTTCCAATAACTTTTCCGCCGATATTCTGTTTTCCCTTTTCTAAAGTTATCGATCTTGTTGTGATTTCTTGGGTCTGGCCTTTATTTTTCTTTCTTTTGTCCGTTTTTCTTTTGGTTTTTAGGTTCAGCTGTGCTCACATTTTGTAATTTAAATAAACAAATTCTTTTTGTTGTTGTTTTGCAGCTCTTGCCTTCTTTTTGTTTTTTTTTTTTTGCTGATAAGAGTGGATGGATGCCGCAGAAGATTGCGAGACCGCGGGTCTTTGTTTTGCCTTGCTGCCGCATTATCAGCGCTTGCTAAATGTCAAGCCATAGCAATTCCGGCTTTGAATCAACTTCAGTCATTAATTATTATTATTGTTATTATTGAGATGTGTTTTTATTGTAATGTGTTTAAAATTGAACACATGGTTCACAATTGTCTCTAGCATTACAGTGTCTTTGAAGATAACAGTGCCATGTTACAGCCAACCTCCCGCAGCGCTGTTAACAGCAGGAGAGCGAGAGCGAGAGAGGGCTAGGCCGAGAGAAACGGTTTGTTTGTTTGCTTTTACTTTTTGTGTTTACCATTGTCTTTGCTCTCTGGCACGTGAGTTGCCAAAGAAGTTGTGTTTGCCTTTGTTTGGCTTTGACTTTGGCGTTACCAGACGGTCGAACCCGTTGAATTCTTCATCATATGAGATCGCTGCAGCCTTGGAAATTGGAAAATTGTCAACACCCGGGGGTGGAATTTGATAGTTCCTTGTGGGAAGGCCAATCAATCTCGTAATAATGTATTTTCAATGGCCAACGGTCGAATGCGGGTATCACGTTTGAAGTGTTTCGTGTTTCACATTTCTCGATATGCAAGTAATGAGTTTGTCATTACGAGCGCCCATAGGGGTGGTTTCATTCGTTCGCTTGAAGCATGCAACATGATCGATCTGTACCATAATGTGCCTATATTTAATGTGGGCTGGGTAATGTTTGTTGTGGTTTCGAGAGTGGATAAGTGCAGGGGTGGCGGCACTCCAACGGGGAAGTTGGTAAGAACTTCTGACTGTCGAATGATGTGGGGATGTTAATGCTAATAACTTATTATTTTCGACTTAAACATTGTATAATAGTATTAATCATGGTACTTTGTTATAATAATCATTATATCCCTTATTTTAATAAACAGATTTTAATTATAATTATATCAGTTTAATTTCAATGATTCATTTACAAAGCTTAATTTCCCTTTTAGGCCCACTGTGCTTTGGGGCCAAAGCCGCAGCGATTGCAACAATAGTAAGTCTGCCATAAGCAAAGGCAACAACAAGAAGCACGCACACACATACTCTCCCACTGAGATGGCGCGGCTCCCCTCTCACAACATTTAATTTGCCTGCTCCACTGTATTTACTTTGCTTGTTCTCTTCTTCCGTGCTTGGCGCTCTCTGGCTCTCTCCCGCTCTCTTTGTGTTTGCCACGCAGCCTTTTGTTGTTGTTGGGGTGCGTTTGCTTTCTGGTTTTGGTACCTATTACTTGGAGGGTATATTATATTGCCAATAGTGTTATAGCGACTTAGTGTAGCAGAGCTCAGGCCATGTTAACTACTTTAGAATTGATATTAATTGATATTGACATTCTTACCAACTCGTAAACTTGGCAACTGACTACATTGGTCAACATATTAAACCCCCGATAAGCACGCAGTGGCTCTGCATACATATATGCAGCCGTTGCACTTTCCGTTATGTTTGCAGCGCATATGATGGTCGTTCGCTGTCTGGCTCTTAACGTCGCTTATTTCTTCCCTTTAACTGGTTTTTATGCCTGATACATAGCAAGAATAAATGGTTTAATGGGTAAGTTGCAGGTCGACCCAATCGACCAAAGCGCTCTTCTTGTGTTTTTTTTTTGTGCGCCTGCAGCTGCTCCATTCGGTTTATTTCGTTCCGTTGTGTTCATTCGGTTCAAATTCTCGCGCTTGTGCGGTTGTGCGGAGCAGACGAGTTGGAAAAAGCGGAAAAGCGAAGCGATTTCCTTTCACACTGTCGGCGGAGGTTCAATATTCTGTGTTCGGGTAGAGAACTGCAGGCGTTCGAAAATCGGAATCCGAATTTATGAATCTGAGGCGGCACTATTGCACTAAAGTATCCGAATCCGAATCCGCGCTCTAGAGTCGAAAGTGAAATTCGTCAAGCCACCAGCGCCAACGGTAAAGTAAACGCAACGCAACGCGACGCGACGACGACGACGCGCAAAGTAATTTTTGTTGAATGAATGGATGGAATAGCGACAAAACCCCAATCACGCTAAATTAATCAAATCCAATTGCAAATTATTGTATTCAAACCAAGTCCCCGTCCCCCAAAATAATATAAAATATTAGTATTGCGAAGAGCAGATACTACAGTGTTTAACAGTTAAATCCCATCAACCACAGCAAAGTCGTTGATTTTTGGTGTGCAATAAAAAAAAGTTGAGAAAACCAGAGACCAAAACAGAGGACATTCGGAGGAGTCACTTGTCAAAAGAAGGTACGAAATACGTTCAAATTTTGGTCCCGTCATAAAGGTATACACATTCACGGAGTTGGCGTACAAACGTACAAACTCCCAAAATAAAGTTTCATCTCGGATGAGAGCCAGAAAGTGAGAGAGAGAGAGAGCGAGCCAGTGCAGAGCGATTGAGAGAGTTGTGCAGCATCCCACAAGGATAAGTGAGAGATGTCTGTATTTGTGTGTATGTGTGCAGAACTTTTGCAATAATGTCCTTCGCAATAAAAATATGTTGAGAGCGGCATTAAAAAAACCATTGAGATCTAGGTACCAAAGGGTAAAGTGGAGTAAATCAAAGAGGAAAGTGGATAGAAAGAAATTAGGTACATAAAATTATGTATGTTTGAAGTAGGCTTTAATTTAAAATATTTGGGTTGTTTAGGAATATATTAGATTGATTAATCAGAGTCTGTGAACAAATCATAAAGAATATGTCAATAAAGTTAAATAAAAACCTTCCTCTAACACTCTTTAGGTATATTGAACTACTGTAATACAAATATTTCTCTACTGAAATAATAATAACAATAAAATCCCGCGTTTTTTATTATACAGCGATACAGTCACTTCGCAAACTGTATCACTTAATCAAAGATCTCAGCTGATGCTGATTATTTAATTATAAAACAAAGCTTTAGAAATATATATTCGTTAGGGCAATGACACATTTAATATATGTACATTATCGCTCTCAGTAATTTACATTTGTATAATTAGTATTATGTATATCTCACCATTCGCTAAATTGTTGTACAAATTAAAATTCATCTAATCTGTCTGTTTATAAACAACATTTTAACAACAAGCCGGCAGATCAGATTATTTTGTTGGTGATTAAGAAAAGCGTGCATTATAATAAAAGGTGTCCCCGCAGATTTCTAAATACAAAAGAATATTTTTAAAATCCTCATGTATATTTGAGGCTAGAAATCGATTTTATGACCCTCTTCCCTGAGAACCTACTCAATAATGCCTCGTGGAGGATAGATATAAACGGATTTCGTGTTCTAATTTTGTTTTTTTGCTTCTGTTTTTCAAAGTCAAACATATTTCAAGAACAATCAATAAGAGAACAAAATAGAGAGCAACACAAGCCAATAAGCGAAATAAAAAACAAAAAAGGCAAACCAGGCTAATTTATAAGACAAAGCCACTCAGATTCAGTTCGATAGCCATCTGTGGTTAAATTAAGATAAAAATCTGCTGTTTCACATAAAACCTAACCAAAGGTCTTGTTGCTCTTGAGCGCAGATTGAGATACCAAGCTGAAAATTCATGTTGCAGTGAAATCTCTCGCCACACACTCACCCATATCTTTTAAATACTTTCCTCGGTTTTTTTGTTGTTGTTTGTTGCCCTAGGGCCGGCTAATCAACGCGTGGTTGTCTCAGGGGTCTCCCAGCCATTGTTATTAATCTTTTCGGATTTGTTAATCATTTTCAGAGTGTTTTTTTCCTGGCCTGCATACAATTTGCAACACGTTTTGTATATGTTTTTCTGTCGTGCTTTTAGCTTTCCATTTCACCCAAGTGTTTGTTCTGTCCTCGCCCGCAGCTCGTCCAATATTTATAAACTTTTGGACTTTGAAATCATCTTTCATTTCCATGAGAAGGTTATCGAGAGTGATCTTTAAATTTAGGCATTCGAAAGTTTACTTTGGGTGTTAATTGGATTCGAGAAATGCAATTAATTATCTCACTTCCACATAAATATTAAGCTAACATGGTACCTACAGCTTCTTATTTTTTGTTTTTAAAGAAAAATTGAATTTATAGAATTTAATTAGTTGATCTTCAGCCTTGGCCATTGTTAAACTTGGATAATCAGTCTGTCTGTCTTAGATATTTACTAAATAAAAGGAAGCACGAGTCTGTTAGCTAGAAAATCCCATCAGTTTATGCAAATTCATGAAAGAAAATTAAATGAATTTTTTAGGTCTGGCTTCTCGTTGCGATGAAAGCCTGCTCAGAAATTCTAATGAAATTCACTCACAGTGACACAATTATGCGATGCCCTCAGGTGTGATTCGGTTGTTCCTATCCCGGCCTCCAATTTGCATATGGATCTTCAAATATAATAAACATACATACATCACCACCAGGCCGGGTGAAGTGTCATAAAAAGTAACCCACATTGGGCCACAAGGGGTTTCCTAACGGACCCTAAAATGTTATTATTATAAGTATTTATTTTGTAGTTTTCTTCATTGTTTACTCAGCTTTGCGCAATTTTTTATGAAGTGCGCAAAAGTTTTTTGCGGCCTCGTCTCAAGAGGAGTCGAGTAAGTTTCGGGTCGGGTCTGGGCAACTAAAAAGCGATGAAAGAGCCGTTAGGTGACCCCAGCCAACCCTCGAGGGCCAAACCAATTTGCATGAAACGTGGCAATAAAGAAAAGCAAAAACAATCAAAGTGAAAATGCTGAGTGGCTGCAAAGAACGAGGAATAAGTGAAGCATACTCGATGAGATGTGTGTAGGAGAACATTCGTTTCAAAATTAAATATACTTCTTCTTCAAAACATTAATAAGCATTTTTATGTAGCAGCCAGCCCTGATTAGATATTTACAAGATTATATTTAGTACAAGACTTTGTTTATAGTTAACGCATTAAAACCTAAACAGACCTACCCAAAGACTGTTTCTTTTTCGGGTCGTTGCCTTTGTCCAGGGAACTCTTCTGTCTTTGGAAAAGGTACTTGAAATAAAATAAACAAAAAATATTCCGTCCTTAGATACTTGAAATTCAAGAGCATACTGTTCAATTTTAGCACTCAGTGACTAAACACTCACACCCTTAAAATTATCAGAAAATGTCGGAAAGCCATGGCTGAACCTAAGTGCCAAAGTTCTGTCTACAATAAACTGTATATGTATTTATTATTGACGGCAATTTGATAGACTACTGAAACTAACAAACAGAAAACGATATCTCTAACGAAATACACATGTCGACCAAGAAAGATTGGAATTGAATATATGTATATGTATATATGCTTTATCAGACAAGTTCGCAAAACCCCCGATTACGATTAATGATGATTTCGACGTCATTGATGAGAAATCACGTCTGTTATCAAAACAAAATAAACTCAACAAAGAAAGCGGTTGTCAATTTTTATGAACTTCCGCTTAAACTTGGTGACGAATATTTTGATTCCGCTGAAGTGCGAGATGAATCCGGCGAAATACTACAAACGAGAAATACCCATTAAAAATCAATAAGACAGCAGCAGCAGCAGCAAAAACAGGTGTCTTTTGAGAGACTTGCCGCTCAGCTGATGATTATTGAACAAAAACTCATGCAAAATTATTATTTTTGCTCTCCCTGTGCCAAGTTTTTCATTGTTAAATTTAGCATTGATCACGGAGAGACACCAAGTGCGTCACAGATCTTTGAGAATTTTAGTCGCTTTATAGTAAACATTATATGTTTGTGTGTTTGCTATTATTTATAGGGTTTCTTGATCTATCCTAATCGTATTAATTATTTATAGCTGATTGTTTACAAACGTTAGAGGAAGTATTACTTCCACAGATCTCACTGAATGTCTCTCTCATGTTCCATAGTCATTTTCTTATCACGATCAATACTTATCAGCTGATAGTTTTCTTTATCACTTCACTGGACGGCGATAATATTTACAGTAAATTTCAGTTAATTGCTAGTAGCATGTGTCGTTAGAAAGAAAGAAACTTTTAAAAAATCAAAATATTCGCACAAAAATAAAACCAAAGCCGGTCTATGTAAATGAACCTCCAAATTTGCACAGAGAATTTTATCATGTTCAGATAGATAAATGAGGTAGATAAAAACATAGATCGGAATAATCAAGAGCGGTTTGTTTACATTCCACACACACACAGTAAATGCATTTTATTTTCAACAAAAGGTAACAGATAAATACTAGAAATGGCATTTCCTTTTGTAATTTATTAGTTTGTTGAAACAATTAATCACATTTTCTATGAGCAAGATCTTAATTTCGTTTTTCCCTTCTATTTGCAGTTTCGGTGAGTCAAACTAAGATTCTAAAGTCTAATTTCTTACAAGCTGGGTAAGCTTTACTTACATTTTTGTTTTGTTTATTGAAATCTAATTTCAAATATAACCTTCTTCATGATTATTTCCAACCGGCAGACAATTAAGTGTGCCTACGTCAGTTTCTATTTCAGTTGGGCCTAGCCTGACACCTTCAATTGAAATTGATTATGAAAACGACATCATCCACGCACTTATTTAATTAAGAAAAGCCTACAAAACCAAAGTCTTGGCAACCAATTATGATTTAATACAGTCAAGTGTCTAAATCTCAATGCTAAATGGATATTTTCATAGAGATTTCTAGGAATTTCCCGCAATGCTAGGGAATGGAGACCTTCGGCGGACTTTCCAACTTGGAAGTATTTTCGTAGGTGGTCTGGTCGATGGTGATGAACTACTTCAAGTGCACCGAACAGTGGGCAGAGACAACAAGATTTGCGTGTTTGGGGCCAAGACAATTAGAGAAACATGTGTGTATATATACGTATCCGTATAATATTTTAATTGTCGCCAAGATCTTTTGCTAGATTTAGCTTCTGCCTTTGTAATCGAGACCACCACGCAAAGAGACATTCAATATGCCGGCTCAATGCGAAGTCATTTTCCTTTTGTCATCGACAAATTGGGTCTTGGTCGTGAGAGAGACACGCACGAGGGCGTAACGCACTTTAGGAGCAAGTACTTTAAATATTTTCATTTTCAATTTCGCGATTCTCAGTACACTCTCAGTGTGCCAATATGTGGGTCAAGTCTAAATTGGAAGGCAACCTCTGTGTTTTTTTGTGTTTTCTCGCATTAGAAAAAGTGAAATCGCAAAATGTTTTTTCCATAGTTGTAATTAACTCTTAATCATCGACGCTTTGTTAGCTGCCACCTGCATGTCTCCCTCTTTCTAATTATCACTCACACTTTTTTTGTTGTTAGATTCTAAGCAATTAGTCAAAGTTTTTTTTCTTGTGATTTGCATTTCCCTCCTGTAAGACGATAAGATGTCGTACTTGCAGCTTAATTATAAATGTATTTATTTGTATTTTTTCTAATGTTAACACCTTGGTAAGTAATAATGCTGATTGGCATTGATTTTTGTCTAGACAGGGCGAGGAATACATTTGTCATTAGTTGGGTGAAACTTTTCATAAAATCATTAAAATTGTTAGCTGAAAGTTGTAAAAAAGTGGATGGTAATATTTACCTCATTAGTATTTATGTTTCCTATTTGGTCTGTATGAATACTTCTACTTGGGTTTTTATATTCCACTCTAAAATTCAATCAAATACTAATTCCTTAATTTTGTCATTAAATTAATATTGTAGTATTAATACTTAAATTGACCTGCTTACCTAAAGACACAATGCTTTGGGTTCCGGGCATCTCATAGTCGTGCACACTCGATTTTAGTTTTCTTACTTAATTTTTTTTGTTGTATCAAATTACAATCAGCATCAAAGTGCAGTGTCAGACCCAGGCAGACATATTTTTTTAGCTTGACTCCAAAGATTACACAACCTGCTCAACTGCACCCGACGAGGCGTTATCGATGGAGCAAAGCCAGGTAGGGTGGCACAGGTGAGATGAATTCTGCCCACTAGCAAAACCAGAGTGCGACGCCTTATTAAGTTTTGCTCAAGTCGACTCTGGCCCTGTTTATGCAATGTAAATTACTCAAAGAATATGAAAATCAGAGCTAATTGAAACAAGTATGAGAATGAGAGTAGAGTGTGCTAGACTATGAGGTACCCGGTAAAGTGCATTAAATAAAACAAATACTGCAGTCAAAGAAGATTTTCTTTCTGAATATTTTATTCGAAATAACTTTTTATTTCCAACGTTTTAAAGTTAATTAAAATGAAAGTTATTATACCCTTGTAGTGATATAGATAATGCGTATAAAAATTACATTCCTTAAGCCAAGTTAGTGGGTTTGCGATAACATTGATTTACTAGGGACTTATGTAGATTTGCTTACCAAAAATGGTTTATGAAATTAAAGCTACATTTTCCAAAAAGAAAAAAAAAACGTCTAAAAACATGACTCAGCGTAGAGATTTAATTTTTTGATTATCTAATTAAAATCCATTCTTCATAGTGTACTTTAATCATAATTCATTTCATTTTTGATTGCCTTTATTTGTTGGTAAATTAATTTTAATTATGACTGACAGAAATGGTAATGGCGAGAGAAACGAAAATTAAACAGAAACTTCAATTAATGAGAATCTAAAATGAAGCTGAGGAATAAATAAACTTTTTCGGACATGAAACTTTATAAATTATCAAGAAGATTTAGTAATTAATTATACAATATTTTATAGTAAGTTGCTTATGCGATTCCTTCTTAAATTTATTGAAATGCTTGTAACCTACATTTTCAGCTTGAAACACTTTGTACCTTTTCCCTGCTGTTTTTGTTTTTGCGTACTAACTTGGCCGTAAACCGTAAAAGACGAGTGTTCCGTTAGCTTCTTTTTTTATTGCCCCCACTCACTCCACTCGATCCGGTGACCGCAAATGCAATCATCACATTTCATCACCCACAAGAACCTCAGACCAGGCAGCAGCAGCTTTCATCTCGCTGGAGATCTCTGACTAAGGCGGCGGACTTGTATTAATGCCTCCGAGATTATGCCACGACAACAACATCGGCGTACATATATCATTTACCGTTTAAAAAGGCAAAGAGGGAAGATGTTTATGCACTTGAACGCCGCAACAACAAAAGTTGGTTCTTCTTACCGCAAAATAATGAGTTGCAGCAACAGCAACACCAAAAAAAGAGCAGAACAAAGGCAGTCTTTTGGGATCCCTGGAAGAATTTCATCATTCTCTTTAAAGCGCTGTCTTGGAGGAGAAGAAGCGACTGTTTTGGGTCAAACCGCACCCGCTCCCGATCCTTGGCTCACCGGGTCTCACTCGAGCGTCTTGTCCGTCCGCATCCTGTGCTGGCATATTGAGTTTCTGGACGGACCCAGGTGAACAGCTGGTCGGGGAACCAGTTTGGGCCTCAACTGGTACTACGGCAGCTGTAAACAATCAGAGCTAACTGCCTGCCAGGCACTCAGCCATGAAAAATGAATGATGGCCATGATGGTCAAGTCAACTGTTTTGCGAGGGGCCAAAAGCACCAGAGAACCAGCACCAGCACCAGCCAGAGTGGTTAGCTCTCCGCAGCGACAGTCATTGACCAAAAGGCTCCTGGACTTCCTCGGAGCCGGAGAAACCAGATTTTGTATCTATCCCAAAAGTGCGAGTATCTCGAGTCTGGCTCAAGTCTCGATCCCAGTTCTGTTCGTTCGGTGCTCCGGCGACTGCCCTTTGCGACTCGTTTGGTTTATGGCCCCTCAAGCTGAGTTTTTTACACTATTTGTTTGTTGTCTATATGGAGGAGTCGGAGAACCGGTTGCCAGGTTCATAGGCGATGCTTTGTTTGAAAGCTATAGCTTTTGTCTAGTATATATACATATACATATATATCTCTCTCATTTACTGCTGCACTTCTAGTTTTTGTTTTTGGCTTAAGAATTGTTATTTTGCAGTTGATATTGCGGGGGTTATCACCTGAATATCTTGATGGAGAATCAGCTTTAGCTTGTTCGGTGTGCTCTGTGTTTCGATTGTGGGATGGTAAGCCACAATATAAAGTTTATTGGCCTTGTAGTGTATCTGTTTGGGAGCCATGTTGTCCAAATGTCTGGCTACCCCTGAAGTATTTCTGGTCCATGATCGCAACCTTTAGCTGAGCAGCGGCCTACTCTTTCATTTGGCTGTCAGTCAGTTAACGTATTCCTCATTCTGCAAGTTGCCATAAAAAGACTTCAATTGCCAACTGTCAACTGGGGTGGGGAAACTGGTTAAAGTTTTTGCCGCAACAAAACTAAAAGAAAAAACTAAAATCAAAATAGTTTGACTGTTGCATTTGGTGCATATTTCTGGCGACTCCTCTTTATGGCCAAGACAAGTTCTTGACACTCATCGACGAGTGCAGAAAATGGCTTAAACGCCCACAGATAAGCCACCAGAGTATCCGTAGGTGAAATGTTGTATCTATGAGTGCGCTACTGAAGCCGAAACACAGACACAAAGTGAGATTAATTCAATCAAACTTTTGGCCAAGTTACAACCGACTGATTCCACAAATGCAGAAGCGATCAACGATGCATGCCACTGGAGAACATGCAATATGTTTTACCCCAAAAAATCCCTTACCTATGTGGTATTATTTTGACCACATAACAAGTGACGTAAAAACACTAAATTAAAACTATACTACATTACTAAAGCTTTAGGCCAGCATAATGGTTATTTTCATTAAACAATTTCTTTACCATATTTTTGTGCCTATTTGGGCAATTTCTGTTTGATTTGGTTGGCTGCCGGTAATGAGGAATTAAATACCTTGTGATTAAGCTTTAGTGATTGCAATAATTTATACCCATAAAAAATCTAAGCCTCATTACTGTATTTATTACTCAGGAACTAAGTAGTTTAAAGTGAAATAGAGCAAGAAGGAGAATAGATATTCATGATTATGCATATGGATCTTCAGTTTATGGATCCTTTGGCAAGTCAAAGACATTTACTTACCACCTCGCACGTGCTTGAAACACCTTTGGGGATATCTTTACCTAAAGATCTTAGATAGGTCAGCTGCAAATTAAAATATATCCACCGCAGTTGTTGGCCATTTATGCCGCCTTCAAGCCATAATCGTTTAGATGTTGTTCACTTCTCATAATGATCGTATTCGCTGGATTTGGGGGATAGGTAGCCAGAGATTGAGCGGGATATGAACATGGAGATGGAGAATGACTACTGTGTGCGCAGGTAAATAATAAAAATAAAAAATCAAGGTGTGCTTGGGCTTAGCCAAGCTCCAATCCACACTTCACTCTCCATGGGGGCAATGTGCAATGTGTCTGGTGTCTTGGCCAAACTGTTTTTGAGTATTTTACGTTAATTTACGCCCAGAGTACTGTTGAGTAGATATTCGCTACAGTCGTTGTCTGCTTTCGGTTTCATTATGAGTGGAATATCATGCAATGGCCACAGCACTCGACCAACAAACTTGGCTTTAGCTTGGCTTGTATCTGACAGTTGCACACTTGGATTGCCGGTTGCAACACCCATTTTGTATCTTTCACTGCCTGCCTCGTTACTCTGCGGGTAATCATATTTCTACCCGTCTGTCTGTTGTTAAATTAGCAGCTGTGTTCAACAGAAAAAAACCGTATTTTTAAGTTTCAGGATATTTTTAGTGAGCTCAAGAAGGCTAAGTTTTCAGTGGTATTTTCCTGCTTTGTTTCTTGGATTTCTCTCTGCCCCTGGGGAATGTTTTCCATTGGGGTCTTTTGGTTTCAACGCGCCCTGCTGACTCTATGTGATTTTCCTAATTGGATTTTCCGTCTAGGCAAACATTTTTCACGTTTCACGTTTGCTTTCGGTTTGCGCTCTTTTGGCATTGTCCAAAGTGTCAATTGGATTTGAGAACCATTTCATAACACATATTTCACGTTCACGGCGCACTGTGCGTATGTGAAAGCGTCGTCACCTAATTTAAAGTCACAATAATAATATTAATTTAATGATTTGTAGGCCATAAAGAGCACTGTTGATTACGTCTGCGATTGATGGCAATGATTTATTATTATTATTTTTATGACCAGCAATCGGAGTGTCTCTCAAATTGAATTTATTTGCGTGCCTTACTTTATGCGCTCACTCAAATCGACAGAGATCCATTCGAAAGACCATAAAATAGATTCAAAATCAAAATAAACTGAAACAGCTGCTCGATATGTATTCGTATTCACCATTTATTTGATTTTTTTTTAGCGGTGGCGCTTTCACTTGCCATTTTTCTGAGATTTTTTATTAGTCCGCATTTGTTGACTCTGTCGGCGCATGAAAAAATGAAAATATTTATTTGCCTTGGTTGCTTTATGCAATAAGAAAATATATATAATTTTTTGTTGTTCATAATTCATTCATATTAAAAGTAATGCCGGGATATCATCAATTAAATGGAGAGGCGTTTTAGGTTTCTGACTCAGGCTTTTTTTCTGGGCTTGGTCAGCTCCTCTGTGAGTATGCATCTAAAATAAAAGCAAACAGAGAAAACCAAGGAAGCTTAGTAAATATATAAAATGAAAAATTGCCCAAGACTGCAAATTATAAAGAGCAACAAAGCAAAAAAATATACATTTATTGAATCTTTGCGGCGATTCACGCCACGGCAAATGAACAACAGACCCAACACGATCCCATTCGATTTGTGAGATTCATTAGCTTGGTAGATATATATTTCATTGTCAAAACTTTGGATGTTTTCCTCTTAAAAGAGGAGAAAAGGTTTCCGCAGTTAAGCTGATACATAATATTTTAGTTTTGCTCATTTAATGGAACTACAAGACCTTTAATTGTTTTCTGCTCAGTGTAATGTGTCTAATAAATAAATAGTTGGATTCCCACTTGATATCACTAACTCACAAACGCCCCCCAATTACTGATTAGGTAAGCTTGGTATTCCACATTTTGATTTCACCTTGCTTATCAGTTAAATATTTATGCACCCCGATAAGGTGGAACGAAGTAAAGTGGCTGATTTTATTTGTCTAATTTGAATTTGAGAGAGGTATTTTTAACAATTATTTATTTTGGGATTGTAAACGGTGTAAAGTAAAGATAAGATAGTGACTTCCACATGGGAATTGTGTCATAAAGTGACACAACTGGGTCAAAAATTGGGTGACACGAGGATTAATGAAACTTTTATATGAATTTGATTGATGAATTCATAGTTACTAAACACATATTTCGTTTTTCTTTGCAGATATCTTTATGTTTGTTAAGAGCATATTGGGAGAAACTTGTCAAGGGGATCATATGTAATTTCCGGTAAGATTCCAGTCTTTAGTGTACCATATTTTTATATTCCATATCTCTCCATTTGGGTTTTATGTAAATAAACTGGCGCACAAGAAACTGCTTTTTCAAGAGCAAGCTTACTTAAGCCATAATGATATTCAAACTGGTGTGCAGCGAATAATAAGTAATAAGAACGTATTCTGATTATTCTCATATTCCTAAATCTTGGCGAAGCTTCAAAATGCATGAATAAGTAATTGCAGTTTATTTTCAAACAGAATTCCTACAGAAATTGAATTAAAGACGCATTTCTATGACTTTCCTGGCGTCGCAGTTCGCTCTCGGATAATATAATTGAATCACAGCTTTGTTTATGGGCTTGCCGTCCATTTCTCGATAACACTTCTCGCATATTTCACAGTAAGCTTCGAAACCAGCTGGAAACGAGCTGTTCTGATAAGGCACAAATCCAATTAATTGCAGTCGAATCAGACGGAAATCTGTTTGCAATGAAAGTCTGGATAGAACAACACATGGTGTTTATGAGATTAAATGGCAGAATGGAATGAAGTTTAAGGTACATCAATCGAATTAAATGATTAACTTCATTTAAAGAAATCTCTATGTTATACTTGCTGTCAGTACACTGACTTTGTATCAAGGCTCTTTTTTATCGTTTGGGTATTTTACGCGATAAGATATTTTGTAAACCGAAACCGTTAAGCTACAAAGACATTCTCGATGAGTAAAAAAACACAACCTTGTTGCACATTCAGTTTCCTCAGAAATTGCGATACGAAATCGATTTCGAATTACAAAATAATACAGAACTGTAAATGGAGGCAATGAAAATGGAATTCAACACGATACGGACGTTTTCATGATGCGTGAAAGTCAACCTCAGCCTTGTGTGGCTAGGAAGCGAAATAAATCGCAGCAAACAAACAGTCGGAGTGAAATGTAAACATCGTAAAATGAGTATATATGTTATGTGAGGTAAAACAAAATCAAGCTAAACAAGAGCGTTCAATGAGCCACTTTTCATGCTTGCCGCGGCCAACAAGTTTGGCTAAAAACACAAAAAATAAAATAAAAGCAAAATACATAAAAAGTAACGCCAATTTGAACTTATCTTAGATCGAGCGCTTTGCTTTTATGTATAAATGTTCCTTTTTTCTGAGACTGTGTTTTGTGTAGAAAGGCTTCCATGTCAGGTTTGCCAAGCAAGGTTATTGCACACGAGAAGCACTCATAAAAGCAAAAAAATATACTATATACTGCAAGAATAAATTTTAAGGTAAAACATGCCATAATTAAATATTAGGTTCGGTACACCACAAACGAAATAGATACCTCACCAGATCTGACAGAGTTCTCCACAGACAGACCGCACCTTCTCTCGCAAACTGAGTAAAGTGAGACTTCCGCAAATTCCCGGATTAATATTAAACGCAAGTGCTAGTGTTAGTCTCATGAATCGCACTTATGGTTTGTCTCTGCATACGCTGCATTTTAATCGAGAGCCAAGAAAACACCTCAGATCCCAAGGCGACTGCTTGGCATTCCGCTTGGCATTTGCATTTGAGCGCGTTGCATTTTCTTTTGGACGGAAAAATGCCAAGACTTAAATGGGGAAATTGCGGGAAAGACAAGAAAAGACAAGCCAAGACAAAACAAGACAAGACAAGACAAGGTAAAACAAAGCGGTGCGAGTGTAAACTATTCCATTCATCAGCAGTATGGCTAATGGCCATAATGAATATGAATAATTATCCAAGCTAATGCCGCGTCTCGAAGGCTTTTCAATATGCAAAGTATATTGTCCGGAAACGAGTATATGGCCTAATCATCTTTGTAAAGGTTTTTTTTTTCTTTTGCCTTCGTTACGCATGAGAAAAATACTAGTGTTTCCTATGTAATACTAGGTAATTAAACCACAATTTGATTGGGGAATAGAATATAATATAAAATATATAGATATATTATTCTATGCTTAATTTGTGCGTTTGAAAACTAGTTGGAAGTATATAATCTGTTGTTGGTTCAGACTTAAGATTATGTACATATATCTAACTGAACAAAAACCCTAATATTTGTTTGGTTAAACTTTAATTGTAAGTTTTATAACTTTCTTTAGTATTTCCCTTTTTTGAACTTTATTGTTTGATGCATCTTATCAACTTATATTGTCTTCATAAGTGCAAGCATTCTGAATTTTAAGCTCCAATCAGCATCTATTTTATTTTATTTTTTTGAAGTCAAAACTACTGCGTATTCACTTGACTCAAAGAGGGTTGAATAGCTACTCGAATGACACAGATACCCACCCGCTCCACCTCTATCGCTCGCCCGCATACTCAGATTTATTATCATGTAAAACTTTTGTGCAACAATCCGAACAACAAAAGCTGGCAAATCGCAGCTACTGTGCAGCTGTTCAGCTGCTTCCACCCAGCCAATTGTTCTAGTTGATAATTTATTTGAATATTTGGCATAATTATGCCGAAGTGAGCAGCGAGAAACAATAGAGCCAAAAACCCGTTATAAAATGACAAATGTTTCACAAGACTGCAGAGCCCAACTATGTATCTTAAAGATACAAAATTGCACAGCGAATAAAGTAAAACCAAATAAAAAAAGGACAGAGACTTTAGAAGTTGTTCGGTTCAGCTTGAGTTGACATTGAAGCTGAGATAATAACCAGATAACCAGTTGCACTTCACGTTAGAGATGTGTGCGTGACTGCCTTCGTGAGGCTTCACGACTTCTGTAAAGAGCAAATATCCATTAATTTATTACTATAACTTTTATAATAGGTTCCTATTCTTTGAGTACTCTAATCACGCTGGCATCTCTAGTTATGATTCAAGTTACCCGTGTGCGAGTCTCGTATCTGATTGCTGACAAATGAAAAATGATTGTCGCTAATTGAGCGAAAGGAAAGGAAACCTAGCCAAGTTCTAACTTTAGCCACCGAGGGGAAGATAAATGATATGCTTAACATTGTGGCCAATCGGCCTTTTAAGGCACGCAAACCAATCACTTAAGGTCGATTAACTCGGTGGCCCAATGAAAGAAAGCCCACAGCAAAACGAGATCTGGAATGGGATCAAGAGGGAAGAACTCGATCTCGATCTCAAACTCAAACTCTTCTATAATTTTGCACTTGGCGCCTCTGGCTCGTCGTGCGTTTCGAATCAAAACGCGCATAAATTTCTATGCTTTTGTAAATCTCCACAGTAGCGGCATCCATTAATCAAAAGGCACTATAGTCTGGCAGCCTCAAAGATCCCATATTAGTTACACTTTAGCGAAGCGCCCAGAATTCTCTGATGCCGGGTTATTATGTAGTTCGTCTAAGTTATGATGCAAAAGCAGTCGGTGATTGATCGCTTACATGATGAGGGGCTGACTTGAAGAGTAACCTAAGCTGACATGAGATGGGGCTTGGCCGGGTTCAAGGCTGTCTCAAATACCTCTTCAGAACATTAAATTGATTGTATGAAATCGCCCACTAAGCTGCGATTAATTAATGCCAAGATTATGCAAATGTATGCGGATTAACTCTTATCGCTTGGCTTAACTATTAATACATAATCTTAGTAATTTGAAAAGATAATCAAAACAATTACGCATCTCGACGAGCAAAGTTCAAAGTAATAGCAGCTCATAAATATTGCACTCAAGAATAACAATTTTACTTTATTGTCTATTATGCATTTATGACTTATTGTAAGTACTTTAGAAAATGTATATTTTGATTTTCCAGCACAATGAATCCTTTGGCTGAATAAATTTGTTTGCATTTCTATTCAACGCTTCGCGAATGAAAGTGCCAGCGAGGGGAGAAATGTCAACATCGCCTCTGCAATTCGTTCGCTCACATTGGCAAATTTATGCAAATTTTTATTTATTAAATAAACACGCAAAGTGCGTGTCATCAGCTGTTACACCGGGGGAGGCAGGGGAGGATTGACTGTGGGCGTGGATATTTGGGGCCAACGAACGACAACGACAACGATGGCGACGAGGACAACGCCAACTACAACGACAATCGCTGACTGTTGATTGCCAATTTGTTGTAGTAACTACCCGAGTTTAGGTTAATAGGAGGGGGTTCTATGGGTGCTAACGAACTTGAGGTCACAGCTATAGGCAGATGGAAGGAATAATGGAGAACCGAGTGCGTCAGAGAAGCGATAATGCGAAGGAAATTGTTATGAAGTCTATAAGATAGATAAATCTATATGAGGTTCTTTGTGGGTGCTTGGTTTGCGAATTTGTAAAACGTGATATTGGAACCGTGCGACATTTAGTTATCACAAATCAAAAGTAGTTTATCAAGGATTGAAGAGTACTTTATTAAAATATAAAATAAGTATTATACCATAGTTAATATAGTAGTATGTACTTCAAGGTCAGATTAACATTTACTCCCTCTTTCCTTGACTGGTTCCAAGTTTGAAAGCTCTGTCAAAATGAGTGTGCTAGAAGATTGTTGTGGTATCATATAACAATTTGGTTAGTTGGTTTCATTACCCTGGCCCAGACTCTATCAATTACAAAAGAACTGCGCCACTGAGCATGAAATTAGCTACAGACAGAAGTATTCTATACCACAACGCATGTATGTAAACTCCCCTGACTAAACTCGACTGTCATGACAATTTGCAGTTTGTGGGTTTTACTGGAGTAGTTACACAGCCCCGTCATCGTACTCGATATCATTACAGAGCATTATTTACCAGTTTTTCCTTTCTTTCTCCTTATTAATTTATGCAGTTTTCCGTTTATTGTCTTGTGTTACAGTTGACAAGTTTTGCTTGGTGGGCGTTTGGTGGTGTTCTCGGGTTTGTTTATGTGGTTCGGGTGGAATAAGTAACACAATTTATTATCTCTCCTACATGGCAATGGGTTGTTACTTAACGACTTTGATTAATTTTAATAGCCCTGCTAGAACAAGTTGTCTCGATGACTGTAATTAATAATTATTATTATTATTTGATTGGTAATTCTGTCTGGCATTTATCTAACCATTGTCTGTGCTTTTTCTTGTTGTGTTTCTTTTTGCAGACGTCTTAAGAAATTGCGCAATTATAAACATTTCTGCTTGGGACAAGGTGAGTTGAACTTTGGCAGTCCGAGTGGAGTGTCATGTTGCCCGACAGGGAATACACAAATAATTAATCGAGTCTTGTTGTGGGGCGTATCAAGTGTCCAAAAAGTTCTTGCGCAAGTCCGCGTTTCGAAATCCTCCACTCGGGGTCAGTAATCTCTCATTAGCCTCAATCGAAATGAATCTTATCAGTGCGCTCTACTAACCTACTAGTACCAAAGCCTTTGATTGATACGAAATGAACATAGTAAAGCTTTCTAAAAAATAAAACCCTAATAAAAGACTTATGTGCAATGCAACTGAAAGTGCAACGGACCAAGGGAGTTATCAACTTTAGATACTTTGTGCGACGCCGCCGCCGTCTGTTTGAGTCAATGAATCGGTGACCCACTTCCGAGGCGACTCTCTAATCAGCCAGCAACTCTGCGGCCTGATAAACAAATCGCAGATAGAAGGCAAATGAGTAGGGTAACGAAAACAATTACAAATGAGAGTACTAACAGTACAGAAGCTTCCAGTCGGGAGTGTAATAACCCCGGGAAGAGTTCCCTGCTTCCTGTGTGTGCGATAAACAATGAATGGTATCCAATATGTGTCAACTTTACTGAGAGAGATACTTACTTGCTGGTGCTGCTTCCATTGAATCCTGAGTCCTTTTGTTCTAGGTCCTTGGCCTAAACCCTCTCTCCCGCTGTTGGAGTTGAGCCCTTGGAGTGAACTTTTCCACAATGCTAGGTATTTTTTATAATTAAAACTTTTCTATTGAGCCAGCTGGAAACCCACATTTCGTTTGGCTTATTTGGTTTAGTGAATTTTTCCACTTGGCGCCGCCTTAAACGGAAATGATGGAAAGCTTTGTCGGCGACAAGGTGGGAAAAGTGGGAGGCTCGGGCGAGACTCACCACATGTGGTCCTCCGCCAAGGCACTTCCAAAACAGACGAGACCTGACGTACACATTTCCCCCTTCTCTGGCTGTATCTCAACCCATGTATCTTTGTGTCCCTCCCCTGGCTAGATATGGGCTTGATGTGTTTCTTTTGTTATTCCACACAATTCGCGCGCCTAACCCGTCAAGAATTTCAATGAGTTCGTTTCCCTTTCGGTAGTCGGCTCAGATCGGTGTCGAGCTTAGAACCAGAAAAAAATATACATGGTTTCTAAAAAACGAAACAAAAAATATAAAACATCATGCAGACATTTAAAACAGAACCTGTTGGCTTACTCATGATTTTGCCATTTCAGAAGAAATAGGTTTAAAGCGAACAAGGGGTGAAATTAGGCAACACTTGTAAGCTGTGTTTAAAGTATAATAAACCATTTCATGGTTTCCGTATTCGATTAATAGGAAATTATTAAGGGGACTTTAAAGAAATTTAGAATGGCTGAAAGATAATAAGCAGTCTTACATAGATAATCATAATATGCCTTAAGAAATATTAGTATTATTATATTAAATTATATTTGTAGAGATTTAGATTCCATATTCTTAAATGAGTTTTGATTAGAAACGATTCATTATTCTTATACCAACAAACATTTAAAAAAGAAATTCCAGTATTTTTCCTACAGTGCACTGCAGTGTTGTGTCCATTTATTTTTACAGTGAAAATTTTGGTGGCTTCTCTATAAAAACTCGTTACCCAAATAGGCAACTTAACTTTAAGAGCGAAACAAAAGAAAAAAGAAAGAAATTCCCTTATATAGTTAATTGTTATTTAGTGCCACCAACACCTGATGTTTGTGGCCTGACTCATGAATAATCAAACGAAGATGCATGATCAAAATCAGTTCAGGTTCATCCAACTTTATTACGTCACACACACACAAACACTCTTTGACACTTGGCTGATGAGAAAAGTTGTTGACATCTCTGTAAGTGAGCTTGGCCCATAATCGATTTGCCCATTCAGAGTTTAGTTTAGGTTGCTATTTTCTCCTATTATTTTTTTTTGCTAGGCAAAGTTTTATGAGCCAATTACATGCAACACTGGGCACAAGAACCCACTATCGAGGCACTGAAATATCACATCCATCACATGCTAAACTCGCATCATGTAGCCACTATTATGTGAATGCGATGCGACTCGGCCCCCTCGTCCTTCTCCTATCGGCCCTCGACGCATACATGACTCTCTAGGCCCATGAGCACCGCCGTCTATCATTAAACTGTCGTAAATCACAAGTAATTGACATTATACAACAGGCAAGCGCAGCGGATCGGTCAAACGATCAGCAGGCTGGCAGGCAAGCATGCAGGCAGGCAAATAAGCAACAATTATCCCAAGACAACAAACATTTACTCAAAATACACGTAGCAACAATTAAGCTAAAGATATCACATTGTCAGTGAATATAATGCTCTCAAGTCTTGGCATATCAGTTAACTCTCAGTTTTGTTAGTTAAAAGGGGTAAGTTACAAAGTATATAGTAATGACAAAGACCTAGAACGTGTTCTGTGCGAAGTTATCCGGCTCGAAGGACCAATATGAGGAGAGCGGCTTTAACCCGTAGGAACAATATAAAGGAGAACAATATAATTTTTTGGGATATTTTTAATGGAATAATCGTAGATTACTACTACTTATGTGCAATTTGAACATAAGGTTAAAAGAGAGGAATCTAAATAAGTGCATGCAAGACCACATTTTGAACGTTGATTTGGTGCGATCACAAGGCGTTCACAGTTCCGACCGGAAATCCCCCAGTTTAAATGTTTTAAATGAACATAAATCAATGTATTATACGCATGTTTAATTGTATTATTTTTTACTCGATAGCATTTATATCCGCTTCTCTCCCTTCAAAGCCACATGGGACGATCTAGAGCGATAAGAAGGCATTTCGAAATAATTCGACATTTGTCTCTGGCTCCCATAAAGCGTCCCGTCCGCTCCTCCTTCTCCTCCGGCGGTTGATCAATTGGCATAGATCTCTTGAGATCTCAGTGCTGCTCGAATGAAATGCACAATTGAAATGCAGCGAAACAATGAACGGCGAATATATATATTTAGACTGACACACTAAGCAAACCCCCAAGTCAACCCACTTTTGTCTGAAGATTACGAAATCCACTGAGCGATGCTGTGAATGTGCCACGCGTAATTCTATATAGAACAGACGAGGCTCGCGTCACTCGGTGGGTTAGATAAGGCGGTGGCACAACCTATAAATACATCAAGATGCAAACCTTATGTACACACCGAAGGCAACTGGCAATGTTAGCTAATAGCTGCAAAAATGACGTTGCAATTGCATTCGAAGGTCTTTACTGGCATGTGGTCAAGGCTTTTTCTTTTTCAAACTTACTTGAAAAGTGAATACATAAATGAATAAGTACTTGTTTTTGCTTTCAAATTATGGATGTTAATTATTATTATTTGAGGAGTACTCATTAAGTTGCTCAAGAAAAGTGATGCTAAATGCATCTAACGTTTTATACTAACTTAGGAAAATACATGCTTAAAATGCTGAATTATTAGTAAGCCCAAAGGCGTTAAAATCATTATACTTTTAACTTAATTTTTTTCCAACTTTATCATAAATGTCTTCTGTTCTTTTAATTATTTAGAGTTAGAGTTATTATAAATTGATATGCAGGCTAAATTTAAATTTGTAAAACTTGTAACTAGGATATTAAATAATGTTTAATGATCTTTAAGTCATGAAAAGGTCTAGTCGCCTTTCTAAATTATATACACAAATTAAAACTATGTTTATATGTTATAATACACAGAAAACAAGCGCAGAAGGTTTTTTGTACTTTCTTAATAGCAATTTGAGTAAAGATTGGGGACTTGTTCCATTGAATTCTTACATAGTATAAGTTATAAGTTTTCCCATATTTCATAGGGATCTGTATATTATAAATAAGTTTTATTAGCATGTTAAAAGACCGAAAATAGCAAAAATAGCCCGGAAAAAACAATACTAAAACCAAGAGGAAAATACCTCATAAAGTGAATATAATTATAGCCACTTTCCGAATACATTAAATTAGCATTCTTGAAGTAAAACCGCATATTTTCCTCGAATCCAACCACTGTTTGGCCCTCATTTTCCGTTCGCTGCTGATGGGTCCGAGAAAAGTGCAGTCAAAACTCCGTTCGTCACGCTTTAACAACTCCCCCAGAACTGACTGTTTTGGAATTTGTTCCCAATAGAACTCGCTCGATGAATGGAATTTTCGAGTTGTTCTCCCCTATTTCATTGTTATTCCCATTCTGCTTCATTTGTTCCATTTTATTTCATGTTATTTTGTTCTATTGTTTATCGGAAGTTGCGCTTGTTGTTAATTTATGCGTTTTGTGCAAGTCCCCTCCCGCAAAGCCGACAGGAAATGCAATTACTTTGAGGGGTTCCCTCCGCATTCAAAAATCTTTTTTGTCAGTGTTTTGTTTATGATTTCTGCTGCTGTGTGTGGCCCCTCCGATTTTCTCTCTGACCCACATGTCGTTAAAGTCGCTTTCAAATGCAAATGTGTTCGGGCCCCTTAAACAATTTAATGGCCTTTTTGACAAATTTGTTGAAAATTTACAACTTCTCGTCTACTGCCGATGGATGGAAGTGTTGCCCAAATTGTCGGGCAATTCTGGAAGCCAGATGGTTGGACTGGAACTATGCAACGTTTTAATTTTAAGAACCAGTGTAATTTCCTGCAGAGAAAATGTATAGGTTTTTCCCGCTTCCTGTATTATTTTATTTTATCACTGTAGCTTTATCTAGGTTTCTTTTAAACTAACTGTGTATTCAATATTTGTATAGAATTTAATATTCAACGGACTGAGAGTAATCTTTAATCAGCAAACTCCCCTAGAGCATTAAGCATTTCTGTTTGCATTTCATTTCTAAAAATAAAACACTCTTTACTTACGTGCCGATTAAAACAAAGCAAGCGCAAAAATAAAACAATGCCAGGAATTGGTGCGTGAAAATTGTTTCGTTTGATGAAAAAATAAAATTCAATTCGAAAGCAGTTCAAACGGACAGAAAGAAGCGCTAATTA